GGGACTGACAGAGCAAATGTTTGAAGGATATAGAGAAAAGACAAGGGTGGCTTTTAAGGTGACACACACAGTAGACATAGGCATAGCGGGAACAAAACAGGAAAAGAAATTTCAAACTGAACATTAGGAGACTACTCAAGCCGTGAATTTTATTGGACAGCTAAGTATTCTCCAAGGGGGGAAGTGGAAACTCCATTTGCTCAGCCATTTAGAAGTAGAGACGTGACTTTATTGTAGATAATACCCTGTACTTTCAGAGTTGGAAGGCACACTATAATTTAATAGCTCTTTTTTAAGTCTAACTGCACAACTGTCTATTACAACTAACAAAAACATCAACTATTGCTAGAGCTAACATAAGCTTAGACACAAACCCTTGAATTACTTTCTCTCTTCACTTTCTCATCTATTTTTCGTCCTCTCTATAAGCGTTATTGCCAAAGAGTGAAGCAGCATGAAGTATGGGTGCAATATTTAAAAAAAAAAAAAAATCAGATCATTTACTGTTCCTCAAAAAAAATTAGTTGTGACAACCATTTTTAAAGATTGGTTTTGCTTATTGAGCACAGCTTTTACAGAAATGGACAGGCACACTTTCATGTACAGTCCTTATGCCTTGTCACATCTGTATCATGCATGACGTTTTGACAGAGAATTACAACAGCCAACGATGGTCTCCCCAGAAGGCTGTGCCTGGTGGCTATTCCCGCTAACGCCAAAAGCCCCGTTGGCTGCAGGCGCTAAGGCTTGTCCAGCCAGTACTGCCAACCAGACCTGCCCAGCGGGAACCCAAAGCACGACCAGGGGCACCGAGCCCTGCCCAGCCTCCCCACCAGTGCCACCGCATGGCACCACCAGCCATGGGATTTGCCAGCCCCTACCAGGACTCCCTCTTTCTTCTGCTCTCCGAAGCTCCTGTGTGTGCCTTTGTGTGCCTCTGCCTGCACCCGTGTGTCTGTCTGCCTTCAGAACAAAGATTTTAGTGCCCAACAGGATGGGTAGGAAGCTCAACTGACATACAGGCATATGTTAATGGCTAAGGCAAAACAGCAAAAGTTTTCTCAATAATTCCACTCATGGCAATAATTTATGGGTTTCTGTTTGACAGCCCCACCACTTTGTGCACAAAAATGCTTTTGAAATTAAATTGTTGCAAATGGACTTTACCTTCTATCTCCTTCCTTTTCCTTCACCACACTTCTAAAGATTATAACATACTTGTCAAACTAGGTGAGCATCTCCTATTTGGCAGGATCAGATTAGCAGGTCTTTTAGTCAGAAATTAAAGTTAGAAAAGAAACATATAATTAGTTTAGCACTAAGTGCTAAAAAGTATTGCCATGTCCTTAAGAGGACAAGCTCTCTATTGCAGACATTAAGTACTCAGGCTATCAAGAAAATATTTTGCAGACATGAGGAACTCTAACTCTCTGACTCATTGTGTTTGGACTCCTTATAGCAAAAAGTTTTTCTCCTGTGGAAGAAAAACTCCTAAAGATACACAATTAACTTAAGTCCATTCCTGACAGCAGAGTGCATCACAGTAGTTGTTGCTTCTCTCTCTCTCTGTAAAATCACCCTGATACAGCATCAAAACCAACTGTCGTTCCAAAGAGCAAGGACTATCAATTCAGTAGGCAGCAGGACAAGCAAGCGCAGATCGTACACAAGTCATTTTTTCTGTTTAACTACTCATTTATTTTGATGTTTGGAGAGAAACCTTTCTCATTTTTCCAAAATTCCTAAGGCAGGCAGGTCTTTCTTTTTAAACTAAAGTGAGTGTTAGAAGTGTGACCAGCTGGTCATACTAAACCCCACTTTCCCCTCATGTTCAACTTGAAGTGATACCATCATCAGATGTGTAGGTTTATATGCCTGTATGTGTGTTATGTATGTTATGTATGTTATGTATGTTGTTTCTGGAATCTTGAAGATCCTAAATGTCGTTTCCCTTCCTGGGCCCTGGGCTTTTTTTGGACTCAAGAATAAATTCCTCTCTATGGCAAAACAGTCATCATGAGCTGCATTTTTCTTCATCTACAGCCCCTAGAACAAAGGAAGCGGTAGGAAGTCCTGGTGCAGTCAACTCTGCTCTTTATAGAGACCTAAAATCTTCTCCATCGCCTTGACATTAACAGTGGCTTTCCAAAACTGCATGTTCTGCACTGGAGGACAAATGAAGTACATCACCTCCTCCGCATTCCTCTTCTTAAACCAAATAAGTACGTGTCACATCTTCTGGGCTTTGGGATAAAAGTACAAAATTTTAAAAGTCGTCTCATCTCACCTTGAAGTCCCTTCCCAAATATAATTACGAGTTTCTAAGCCAAACACCAGGGAGACTTTTTTTTTTACTTTAATTTACTGTAGGTCCATCAACTTTGACCACGTTTGCAGGTACATTTTCTCCCCATTAGTTCTGTCTAGTCAAAGAAGCTCACGTAGCGATGACGCATCTTTTACAGATAAGGGTATCTGCTGATTTGATTTACTAAGAAGGCTAAATTTATTATGCAACATTTTACAAGTCTAATTCTGCTTTCCCTTGACGGTAATAAATTCGATATCAGCTCCCCTGAGACAAGAGAACCAGTCCCTTTATTATCCAGACATGACCCCCAGAGCCAGATTCCATTTTAGAGACGGGAAATGGCCATATCTCTGATTAAAAGGGAAACTTTAATCAAATAAAGTGCCTCATCAAGCAAGAGCCAAGATTCCAATACTCCCGACTGCAGCACAGCAATGATCCAAAGTCATATCTGCCCCCAACCCATTACCGCTTACTGCAAACGTGATATCCATCCCAAACAGGAGGTGCATCCTGCAGCAGTTTCCTTATCATCCTGGGAGCCGCTCCTCCTGTGCCCACAGTCCCTCACAGAAACATGTTCCCACGCTGCTACCCCAGGGTCTCTTTGAGGAACCAGAGGAGGATGAGCTTTGCGGCATTTGGGGTTTTTTTCCCCAACTAAATCAATCTCACAGGTGACAAGTAGGTTGAACCATGCAGCCAAGTGCAGCAGCCACTGCCTTCAGCTCAGTACCCTTCCAATAACACTCTTCTGTTCTCTCAGATACTTTCCTTCTACACTCTGAAATGATCTTCTGGAGCATTTAGGATACTAGCTTATTTAGAGTCCCAGGTCAGAGCTTTGTCCCTATTGTCAGTGGTGTATTTCTGCAGTTTTACAGCAGGGTAGTAAATGAATAACAAATAATGACAGCAATGACCACACGGATGTCTAGGGGTATTGTTATTTTAAGTGTGCTTTAAGATTCCACTTCTGTGTAAGCACTATCGGATCTGTATGCCACTCCATGCAGGGATCCATCTTAAAGCCTTTCTGGCCATCTAGACAGTTTTCTTGCAACAGAGCAAGATAGAGCAACTGACAGATAAATCATCTCCCTTTCAAGCCACGGAAGCCCAGCTATGCAAGCAAATTAAGGCACCCGAACTCCACGTCTAGATCCAGTTATTTCATACAGCCTTCTGCAGAGATCCTCCTTGGATCAGCCCACGTGTCACTTCTGCTATAGCAGTCACGATATTTACCCTCTGCTTTATGCCAGGAGTATCTTCCTAATACCAAAGCCTCTGCACCGAGTGAGGCCCCTTGCTCTGCAGGGCTTCCAGCTGCAGCAGTGGCCAGGCAAGAAGCGGGAAGTGTCATACCGCCGCACTTGAAGATTATTTCCCCAGTATTTTGTCCGAGTGTGACACGCACACATGCACACCCGCAGGAAGACGGCTACTGCGTTGCTCCCTGCTTTCCAATGCAGCTTCAGTGGCCTCCGAGTTGCGAGCGCTGTCCCGGGGGGGCACACCCACCCGCGGGGGGGCAGGGCTCAGCCCGGCCCTGCCTAGCCCCGTTCCCGCTCAGCCCGAGCTCTGCCGCGCCCTGCCCTGGCCCGGCCACGCCGTCGGGGGTGCGTCCCGGGCGGCGGCGCTGTGCCGGGGGTCGGCGGCCTGCCCCGGCGAGGAGCTCTCGGGTCAGACGGCGGCAGCCGGTGGCACAGAGCGGCCGGGGAGGGGGCGGCGGTTCCTTGCGGCCCCGGCGCGGGGGCAGAGGGGGCCTTTGCGGCTCGCACCGCACAGGGGC